AAAAGATCGTTCGTCTACCGATCGTGTATAATATAAATTGCAGGAGTTTTTGCTCAAGAAACCCCGAAACGTATTATCATAAATAATAAGAATATAAGAAAATAAAAGCACTTTTTTATGTTTCGGCACATTTTGGGGACCCCAACGCCTTGCGCGGGTCGTTAGATACATTCGGCCTCAATTCTTCTCGCTTTTCGAGTGTTTCACTCCCTATGAGCTCCCCACATACCCCCTTGACAACTTCCAATTGTATGTGTCCACTACTAGTTGATACAGTATCGGATTTAGCTTCTACTTAATTCAATAATATGGTTCTTTTACAGAATGAGTTTGCGAAAGCTGAGAAATCCCCGGCTTTTCGAACAACTCTTCATTGAACAGATTTAGTTCGATCATAATGTAACAGTTTAAAGTTATTATACCTAAGTATTTGTATTCTTAAATTTACGTTGGAGAGCGCAGCTTCGTTAAATGCATTTTTTTAACTAACATTTGCAAATAATTAGATGAAATGGCTCAAAAGAGATATGTTTTGCGAATGTTCATTAGGCGAATTCACGATATTATACGTCGATAAACGATATTAGAAGCTGTTTGGTACGGAGTCGAGTAAAAATTGAATTAAATACTGCTCTGCTCTGTCCTTTTTACCCATTTGAAATTGTAAATAAGAAGTTGCTAGCGGCCAGTTTCGATGGCCGTTTTCCCACTTTATTTGACGTCTGTATGAATGGACCTGAAAATAGAAAGTCAGTAATCAACTGTCGTAAACGACTTCCATTGTGGCTCATGTGAAAAATGGCTTTTTTTGGCACCCTATCAGTTAAACCCTGCATTCGGTCTTGAAATTTGATTACTAAATACTTAAACAATAATTACTTATTTAAGGCTATACAGATTTTATAGCTACTAATTAATGAAAATTAGGTCTCAAAAATATGTTTCGATGCCTTGAGAGCTGATGCTGAACTTTCAATTTATTCGATTGACTAGAGACAACGCAAACGAAGCTGATTGACATTTTCAGTGAAGTAAGCAAATAATTGCAAACAGGGGTTGACCGTTTTCTTTATTTAGGACTGAAACTGACAATCGAAATCTAAAAGTTTAATATTACTCGATAGTATGTGTAAGTAATCTCATTGACGTAGAATTGGGTCCGTCAGCTTTTCTGTTAATTCCAAATTATAGAAGACTGTTTGGGCGCGAATATACTGGTTTGAAAAGTAGATAATTGAACTAGGATTCATCCATCTCAATAACTCTTATATAAGCGAATATTTCCTCCTAAAGTTCCCCTAAAATACGAAAACATAAATAAACGATATATTCAAAATACTCTTATTTGGTGGAAATAAAAAAGTGGTTATTATATTTTCTCGGTAGTGTTGTTCCGATGGGTCCAAGTTAGGGCAAAATAATTATTTTATGGAGCGTCACTTCTAAAAATGCAACCCTTGATAGTCGTAGCGATAAAGCTCCCCTGTTTCCCTTAAATTATACTAAACTGATGTTTCATTATAGAAAGATTTAAAGGGCTTCCTTAAGGGTTGCAAGCCAATGTATGATTCTTTTGATTTGTTTTAGATGAAACCCACGCCTTAGCATCAATAAGCGCATATTTATTATTTTCATAATTTGGTAAACATTGCCGGTTTTCAACTCGTTTAACTTTGCAAGGTTTAATTGCATTTGGTTCTTTCTGAAGTAATTTCACTGATATTTCATACTTATAGAAGAACAGTCCGTATTAATGTAAGCTGTAGTTAGAATGCATTAAAATTGATTATGATATTGCATTTATAATAAACACAACCGTTTCTGAAATGCATATATTCATCAGGAGTCACTTAAGACATACAGATTGAAAAATCAACATCAATAGAGAACGTAATTTATTTTTCGATTTATTCGCTGGTCTAGTCTGTTTATTTCTATTTTTCAAGTACTTCTTGAGTTACTAACTTTATTTTTTTTTGATGACCATTCTAGAGTACTTCCCTAATGCTGGTGGCCCTTTGCATATCAGAGGTCGCATATCGTAATATTTATTATTTTAATATAATTTTCGACTAGTTTCAGGCGAAATTTTTGTATTGCGTGAATCTATACAGTATTAGTTTTCGCGAAGTTTTTCCAATAGTTGTTCACTCCTGTTTCCAACATTGCCTTCTCCAGATTGAAGAGGCCCTGGTATTAGTATAATAAAGTGAGTATTTGAACCTGCTCTGTAATGCTGGAAGAATTGTAAAACTTTTTACCTTTCCATTCAAATTTTATCTTACTTTGTTCGGTATCATTGACTTGATTGTAATAATTTCACGCTGTGAGTATAAGATAAAAAAAACCTCCCTTCTTTCTCTTAGTTTCAGCTGCTTTTGCCATCAATTTAGTTTTGTTGGTTTATTGTTAAGGAAATTGAATCGAATAACTTGTATTCTCACATCAGATCTCGACTTCTAGTTTCTTGAGTCAATTCTCATGTTTGTCTATCTACACGCTTTTGCTATTTCTCTTACCAAAACCTCTCGTTTTTTCGACATTACTTCAAATTTGATTTACCGTAAGATTCATATATATACGGAAATAGAACTACAGTTCTTTCTATGGCCTTTGTTCAAATAACGTATGACCGTCTTTTTTACAAGAATTAGGTATTCAGGGGTTTTCAAGGGTGACAAATTAGTAACTCACTGATAAGCGATCTCATACAGGGCGTCACGTACAGTAAATGTGTTGAGTTTCAATCGCCAGAACTTATTTTTGATAGGTAATCCGAAGTGACAAATGCCGCTCGAATATCTGTTTTATAATATGTTTTAAACAAAAAAGGTATACTTATATGCTATCCCTAGGATCAATTATTTATTTTTTTTTGATTTATTTATATGGTTATGACCGATTTTTGGCCTAGTCCAACATCTCTAGCAAGACGTCTAGTCCCCACTTGCGGGCCACGAACGACCTCTCCTAAACTTCTAATGCCAAATTTTCGTGTGTTGCTGCACATATCCGTCTTCGCGTTTTTTGCTTTAAACTACCAGTAGTGCAACCTCTGGTTTAAAACCTTTTAAACGCCATGTGGGATTTTGGATTGTTAGGTAATCTTGGCGCTCACAATAGCGTAGCTTCTTTGTAATTCTTTCTGCACTCTCCCAAAACTAACAACCTGCCAACTTCTATATTAAAATTATCTTCCTTGTCTAATTACAATAACTTGAGAAAAAGAGCGTTATAAAGTCAAACTTCTCAATTAACGCTCGCAGTTTACGCGTTGCCATGTACATGAGACAATTTCATATTTCTATATCAATAAAACTTAAATTATGTATAATTCCGTAACCAGATGAGCAGACGATGCAAAAATTTGTTCCCATATGTGGTTTTTCATGTAGAATCAAATTTGAGAATAAAAAAAACATTTCATTTAAAATTTCAAAGTTGCCTTTACCTCTCAAAGAGAGCGCTTGAGTAGAATAATAAAAAATATGCTAAAACATGCCCCCCTACGTATCTATTACTTTTCAAAATTTTTATAAATATATTGCAAATTGTCTCTGAGATACAGCCTTGTAACACTTAAAAAAAAACTCACCCTGAGTAGCGTATGAAGAAACTATCGAGACAAATTCTTAACAAAAATTAAAATATTGTTTAACAAACGTGTGATTAAATGTATCGAAGTTAATGGACGTGATTTTGAGCAACTTTCGTCGAACGCTGCATCTCACCAAATACTTTAATTGTAAATATGCAGAAAATTGTTGATCAAACAGAAATCACCTAAGTATATAGATTCTTTGTTTAGAAAACTTCGGATAACAGATATTCGGGTATCCGGGGTATCAGTTGTCCCTTGGCAGAGTCATCAAAACGTTAGGGCGAATTTAAAGCGAATAATTTGGCGAGAGCTACCTTGAAACGGAGCTGATATCAAATGGTCACTATCAAAAACCCCTGAATGATTTTAGTATAAAACTCCCAGTTGATCGTAAGTTATTTAAAAAAGATTAACCGAAAAATGATAATTTGGCTCTCCATTTTTTTATGTTTGCGCTGACTATTCTTCTAAAATAAGTTGTGCTAAATGGTATTATTTTGAAACCATAAATCCGTCGTTAAATGTTTTACAATTATTTATGAGACACCCCGTATAAGGACATCACGAAGAAACGGTGCGCTTTATTAACTAACAAGAAATACTAACAAGAATTATATTTCTTTCCGGCTTGAAGGAGAATTGTGTCCCAGAAGCAATAGCTTTTGGACCAGAAGCTGTTGATCAGTGTTATTTGCTATTGTAATAAGTAAATGTCTACATGTATTCCAGTGTTAAATATACATACGACAAGAAATAATCTAAATACATGTCACTTGTTAGTCATTGCCCACTCACTAAATGTGTATAGTTACCACAACGTACGCAATTTATTCTCCATGTTGCGACTAGCTTTGAGCTCCTCTATCAAAAAATTCTCTTAGCGCAATGTCCAATTTTGTCTTAAAGAGATTATATCATGCAATTTCTTCAAATACTAGCTCGATTATCGCGAGACATTGCCCTGGTAAATCTACAGATCTAAAGGAGTTATACCGCAAGCAACTTGCTATTATTTTTTGCTTGCTTTTTGGTCATGTGTAACTTCAATACAAATGTAGATATGTATTATATTTGAAAGTACATTTGTTGCCCTTTCCACTCATATTCATTAAATTATCTATTCAGCATAATTGAACAACGTTAAACGAATTAAAATTCAAACGCTACAGTTAGTTGGTATTTTGTCCCAGTATTTGTATTAATTGCAAACCTTATCTATTGAATGTGAACTATTGATGTTTTTGCTATTTTCTTAGAGAAGGATATCGTTTTCACATCGATAGATAACCTAGCTAACCTTGAAAGACTTTGATGAACTACTGAAACTGTTGATTGAATTGATGTTGTAGTAACTAGGATAGTAACATCGCTCTCTCTATAAGCTCATTTTTTCTTGCAGGATGATGGAATCATGGATCAGGACATGATAGACGGAGATGGTGCTATCAACTTATCAACATCACAGAGGCCGTCTGCTGCTACGTCGCCAAATGACAGTGTGCATCAAGATGACGTAGAACAGGTAAGTTGTTTTCCTTAAATCTTATCCTGGCCATTGCGCAAATAAAACACTACAAATCAAAAGAGCTGCACCCCCTCCCGTTGCTCGTCTGTTCGTTTTATATTTGGAGACATCTGGCCAAAACGCTTTCAATTAAGATGAAAAATCCAGTGCATTAGCACGCGAGAGACGGGAAAGGGGGGAGTTTAAAGGGACGCGAGGGGTGGTTTGGAGTGGTGTACGCGGGCGACTGAAAGGGTGGGATAGCTCTATTTTAGACAACGTCTGATTAGAGCGGACTGAGCTGAATATAGAACCGTGTTCCAGGCACTTCGTTCTTCAATTATATATTTTTATTATCGTCTCTGATCGTGGCACTGTCATGTCGTGTAAAAAGATTCGGAATATAAATTGCAAAACTTGCGTTTGTTAATAAACTATTTATTGCTTGGCCAGCCGATTTCAAAGCCTGTTCTTAAAGGCCTGTCCTCCCAGTCAATATATCTTTCACCGTACACTTTTTTATAGTACATGATCGATATTCATCTGACGCATTTCGGCCCCTTTATGCCATTTACACCATATGTTGTTTCGTAAGAGTTTTATGGATTTTCTTTTTGTTTCCATGCCTAAATCTTATTATTAAACTGACAATGTTACAAAGCAAATTTGTCTACTTTGTATCCAAATTTATTACCCATTTATTAAAATGTAACATGAAAATCGCATATTATAGAAAGGCGGTTGGGTACCATTAATTGGCTATAGAGTTTTTCAAATAACTTCTAGCCGCATACTTCAAACCCCATCCACGGCAAAATGACCTTTCAAGTTGATAGATGTATTTCATAAACTTTTCTTGAAAGTTTGTTCCCTTGTTAAAATTAAGATATTTGTTCTGCTGCTGTATAATTAGAAACCGAGCTAATTTTGCAACATTCGTTGTTTCCAGTCGCATATTTTAATCAAGGATTTTTAACAAACGCCAGGTGTCGCGCAGCCCTAATTTTTTTCGTTCTTCTCACCTCCGAACTTTGGCCAATTCTCTCGGCTGCATCTCGTCGAAATTATAAAGAGGTTTTCGTAATAATTTAATGCGATGTCGGTGAACTTCGTCAGTTCTAAATGTCGGCAACGATTTAAATTGAAAAACAGAAAGTTTTAGCTTCCTTTATTAGCAGATATTTTTCCCAGGTTCATTTCGAAGATTTTAAATTGGAAAATGTTCTCCATAGATCGATTTTGTTTCTTGATGAATGTAGTCCAAAGTTTCATTTTAAAGGTCTCATCTCCGGGGATTTTGAAGTAGCTAAGAAAGGCTGGGTCTGAGATGTTACTAGACGCTAAAAATATACGAAAGAAACTTTATTCACATTGCCTCAATATTTTTGTTAGGATTCACACCTCCATATAGTAATAAAATATTTAGAATGCTTTGGTTGCGACTTTCTGTTCAGCCTTACATGCTCGGTATTCTTTCTGAAATGTCGCTCTAGGTAGACCTAAACTCCTTTATATGCAGCATTCTGTGTTACTTTCAGCGGTATCTGGGTGCGAGGAGGGTCAACGAAATTTGCAATACTCAGTACTTTTTAAAGTGCAATTAATAACATTATCAGAATACAATCAGCCTTACCATATGCAATATGTGAAATAGTTTACATTATGTTGATTGACTTTGTTCATTTTTTTGTGCACTATTACTTCCCTGAAGTTTTTTGTTTTGCTTTTCATGGGTGTTTTTGATTTCAGTAATAATTGAAATTTGAGAGATTTGTCTGAGTTTTAAAATTGTTATATTACTTTAGAATTAATTTAATATACAGGGTAAATCAAAATTGGCGTCATTCCTTTTAAGGGGCTGTAATGTAATAGGGGCTCACTTGGAGAGTACGAGAAAAATATTGACATTTTTTTTCGATAATTTCTAGAAGATATTAACAGTTGAAAATTGAACTTGTTATTAAGCATTATTTTGAAATTGTTCCATGTTTAATTAGTAGCGTATTGGAATACTTAATCATTCAAAAAGAAAAATTACGATCTTTGCTTCAAATTACGAACATTTTTGATATTAAAAAGTTCTTTTCTACAATTTTTTGACGAAAAGTCAAAGCGGCAATGATGGTTTTTGTCATCAGCAGATACTAACAGGTGGACAGCCCTTGTCAATAATAATAATAATAATAATTTGTCAAGCTGTGACTTACTTTGAAGCTCATTTCACGAATTTGCGGATATGCGATTAGCTCTGGGGAAATGCCACAGTAACATAGCAGAAGCTGTAAGAACTCACGCCACAAAGGACTAGAATAATTGAAGATTGGCTCCAGGAATATAGTGGACGACAATACATGTTCGGGTACCCGACACAGAGGATAAGTATTGGACATAATTGCAGTAGAGCCTTCCAGGGGCACTCAGAGCATTGCACAACAACTGACAGTTTCCCCAGCAGCAAAATACCGAAGAAGGGTTACATTCGTGCCACGAATGTAAGATAAACAGAGCACAAGGACACATTAAACCAATCGCTTACTGAACACCGGTACAAATTGAGCAGGAGTTAATTAACCGCATACAAGAAGCTCCTCGAGAAGAGTGGATAATAAGGTTATTACACAAGCACTAACTTGTTTGGAGTTAAAGACTCAAATGAATGTACGTTTATTTCAAATTTCTAAACAAATTAATAATTAAGGCCTAAGGGATAAGCTTATGTGGACAATAATTGGCATTCCGAAAAAGTCCATCATTCAACGATTCCTGTTGAATTTATCGTTTGTCCTTGTCTGTTTTATTGTCACTTTCTCTATAATTTCATGGTTTCCGGAGTTTTTAATAATAACGAAGCAACAGGTATTTACGTAATGTTAATTAGGTAGATTACAGGTAGACACTTTGAAAAATTTTATTGCCGTCTTTCTAATATAGTGTTCATGCAAAATTTCTCAGTTTTTAATAAGAATTATTTTTTTTACAATTTTTTCTGTACTCCTGAAACACCGCCAGACAACAAATCCAGAGGAATGATGCCAATTTTGAATCACTCTGTACATATGCATCTGTTTGAAAAAGCGACGCATGAAAAAGTTATATCAAGAACAAAGTATCCAAAATTGTCACTATAATAACAAATGTCGCTTTAACAAACCTGTATGACATAAAAGTCTTGAGAATTACATGTTTCGTAAATGTGAAATATTTTACGCAATTGAATTTATCCTAAAACGGTGTCCTCCTGAAAATGGAAAATTGTTTAAGTGCAATCAAAGTTGGACAGTAAAAATTAATTTTTCCTTGGTTCAAGATATATCCCAAACACGCTAAACATCAAACTATCAGTGGCTGGCAGTTTTGCGTTGAGTTCCTGGAATCTAGCACTGTTGTGCAAAAAAAATCTTGGCTACTTGATACTCTCACCAATTTGGTTCTCCAAAACTTCTATATTTTAAAATTTTCCGTACGTGATAATTCGGAAAATCGCCACCGTACATAGTAGGCATATGGTCTAGTGCCGCTATCAATAATTTTTTCGCCGCTGCAGTAAACTGCTTGGATCGTAAGCAGCTGAAAATTTAGCTTGATCACCCGCTATTCTGATATTCCAGTCGTCAGTATGGAGGCGAAAATACATTAGAAAATGATCTGATTTTCCCATTCGATATTGTCTGGTTGAAGTTGTGGTAATATTTTTAGGTCCCCTTCCACAAGTTACATAGTCATAATCTTTAAGAATAACCCACTTTAATCGCCGTCTATTGTGACTGAGATGTTTTTCTGATTGGTGGTCGTTTTTGAAAAACCATATGGTTGGGAAAAAACACCAAGACTAAGCTTCCTATAATGCCTTATTTTCTATATAAAGCATACCTTTTGTTTTTTACGTATTAAAAATTCTATCACGAAATAAAATTTTTGTAAGGATATAGAGTCTATATTGGAGGTTTTACTTGCCTTCCAAAGAATCCCCAATATACGAGGCAGCTGCGAGATTTCTGCATGACCGACCAGAGTGTGTCAGCTCTTAATGCTTAGAAAATATATGATCGCAGCCGCTTCTTGAGAAAAGCTATCATCCAATGACAAGAGATTTTCATCGATAAAAAAATTACAAATAAGATGCGAGGATCGGCGCGATATTGCTTTTGTATTTTGCCATTCATTCTTGGGGTTTAAGGTGTATTTTGTGTTTTCCTTTTCGCTTCGTCGCATTTTCAGAATGATATAGGGAAAGGGCAGATCTAACTTTAGATATATTATGGGTTTGAGTTTAAGGGGCGAAATTGCCAGTTAGAGTCTACGTGTAGCTCGTTAGAATTATTTGTCAAACTTTAATGTTAATGTATTGAAGATCATTTATCGGGAACAATCTACGTGTTTGAAATTATAAGGAATATTATAAAAATTATACAGTCGTTAACATACCTGTACTTTCCGTAATGATGGAGTTAGGCGATGTCCACTGTAGTAGTTAGAGCAGTTTGATATACAAAGTTTTGAATATGATAAAGAATCAAGTTTTGCTCTCAATTTGTTTCAAATTGTAGATTAAAGTAAGCGCTAACATTTGACGCAAAGCGCTGAAATGCGATGCCACTCTATGGCAATATATTTTGCCTTCCAACAACAAGGATGTGCTGCATACGGTGTGGTCCAACTATAAAAGCGCCCGTAATACAATCCCAAAGCATTTACAGTCGCCGATACATGCTTAAAAGCATGTATTCTGGGCGGGTTGAGCAGACTTCTAACAAATTAAAAGGTAGCCTATTAGGTGGCATTGGAGCCCGAGAATGCCAATTTTCAAATTCGCGTTTCTCGTCTGATTCTTTGATTTTAAATAATTAAAAAATGCCTGCTCTTAAACAGCGAAAAATTGACTATTAACCTTTGGCGCCCTGTTGAACAACCCCGTATAACTGAGAACTGATAATAGTGCATCATTTTCTATTGATTCAAAGTGGAAGCCACTTATAGTGTCGAATTAAAGATCTACGAAGCGGGGTAGGTATAAGGTT